GGGGACCCTGGTGGGTGCCCATGCTCAGGCATGGAATTGCCTGAGCTGGCTCAGAGCTTGGGGTCACATCTCCTCCCACTCCATACAGGAACCAGAGGAAAAGAAAATCGCTCTGGAGCTGCTGGAGACAGAACAGGCTTATGTCAACCGCCTCCACCTCCTCGACCAGGTGAGCTGGGCAGTGGAGGGGCCCACGCAAGGAGATTTTGGAGAGGGTGAAGGTGTACAACAGAGAGACAAGTGGGCTGCTGGTTTTCTTGGCCAGGGATTTGGTCTGGCCTTTGCCTTTCCTACACCCCCTATTTCCATGGAGCACCCTTGTCCCAACAAAGCCTTCCTGCTGCTTCTCTCTTGGGGCCTGGGATTTCCCCCCTGCACAGAGTCAGGCCTGTCACTGAGCCATGTGCCAGTCTCAGAGAGGGAATGGGATCCTCAGGCCTCTTCCTGACCCTTTTTATTCACCCCTGCTTTCTTCCAGGTGTTCTACACAGAGCTGATGAAAGAAGCCAAAACTGGAAAGACGGTCCCAGAGGAAGTGGTGAAAATGATCTTCTCCAACATCTCCTCCATCCACCAGTTTCACTCCGAGTTCTTCCTGCCGGAGCTGCGGAAGCGCATGGAGGATTGGTGAGCTCAGGAGGACACCTGGAGCAGTGCTGAGTCTGGGCTCCCACCAGGACCAGAGCTCGGCCTGCTTTGCTCCAAATGTCTTTGTGCTGGAAAGCACTTCCTTAAAACACTCAGATCAGAGTATTTCTGAAAAGTGGAGGTGACATCTCAGGTGGTTTTGGGATGTGCCCAGGTGTGAACAGCCCAGACTGGCTGCAAGCTGGGGACATTCTCATTCTGGAGAGCAGGAAGTTGTGTGGGGATGTAGCAGGTTGCAGCAGTGCAAATGTTAACAGAAGAGTTAGGAACTGGCACAGGTTGCCCAGAGAAGCTGTGGCTGCCCCATCCCTGGAAGTATCCAAGGCCAGCTTGAACGGGGCTTGGAGCAACCTGGGCTAGTGGAAGGTGTCCCTGCCCATGGCTGGGGGTGGAATGGGATGACCTTTAAGGTCCCTTTCAGCCAAACCGGTCTGGGATCCTATGAAACCACCACACCCCCTCGTTTGATCCCTCACTGTCTGTCTGCCCCAACGGACTGAGGAAGCTGCGGTTCCCTCCTGCAGGAACTGCAACCCCCGGATTGGGGATGTGATCCAGAAACTTGCACCATTCCTCAAGATGTATGGAGAATATGTGAAGAACTTTGACAAGGCCGTGGAGCTCATCACTGCCTGGTCAGAGAAATCCCCGCCCTTCCAGGAGCTCATTGCTGACATCCAGGTGAGGGCAGGGTGAGGGAGCACAGCAGCGCTCCCCAAAATCTCCTTGCACGAGGGGAGCAGCAGAGGGTGGGAGCTGCCTTGGTCACTGTTCCTCTCTCCGTGCCTGGTGTCTCTCCCCAGAAGAGGAAGGTCTGTGCTAATCTAACGCTGCAGCACCACATGCTGGAGCCTGTGCAGAGGATCCCACGCTACGAACTCCTCCTGAAGGATTATGTCCGGAAACTGCCGCCTGAGTCCCCCGACCGGGGCGATGCCGAGAGTAAGGGCTCTGTCTGGCTCACCCTGGGGAGTGGCAGGGTGGGTTTGTAGGGGAAATAACAATCCCCAGTGTTGTACACAGACATCAGAATACCTGGATTCACTCACCAGCTGCCCTGAGCCCTTGGATAAACCTCTCAGTCTGATCCTTTTCTGGCAGGGAGAGGGATTAATCTGCCCTTCCAGGGGCTGTGGAGGTCAGTGAGGAAGGGTGGTGTTTCAGGATAAGGGTGGTCCCTCCAGAGCATCCCCTAGGGAGACCTGTAGAGCTCTCAGACCCTTGTAGATAACACAGTTCCCAGTCCTGCTGGGATGGACGGAACTCTGTCTGTCCTCCCAGGACCCCACCACGCACAGTCTGGCCATACCTGGACTCTTGTGCAGCATTTTGGGGCAGTTTGGGTTGGGTCCAGGGGAAGGCAGCAGCCACCACACACGTACATCCATGAAGGACAGACCCAGGAGCTTCCTCCCACAGCTCCAGAGGAGGTGTTTAACCTCCAGCCTGTTCTCTTCTCTTTGCAGAGGCCCTGGAGATGATCTTTATGGTGGCCAAGCACTCCAACGCAGCTATCGCCGAGATGGTGAGTGCCTGTCCCAGCTGGAAGTGCTTTGCAGCTCCTGAATGGGACAGGAGCGCTGTGGGTTCAGCACAGGAGCTGAGACCCTGCTCTTGATGCCTGACCCCATCACCCTGAGCCTGGGGAGTCACGTCTGTAACATCAATGATGTGACCAGCTGCTCAAGGCTGGGATTTGCTCCCAAAGATGAATCTGGGCTGAGAGAGCAGTGCCACCTCTCCCAGTTATCAGCAGCTGGCTTGGAAGGTGGGGATGGGGGGAATCCAGGGGTGGCAAGGTTGTGGCTGCTCATCACCCCACAAAAACAGGTCCCTCTGCCTCCCCCAGGAACGGCTGCAGAACCTCTGGGTGGTCTATCAGCGGCTGGGCCTTGAGGATGACATTGTGGATCCCTCCAACCAGCTGATCAAGGAGGGACCCATCCAAAAAGTCTCCACCCGCAACAACAGCACGTCGGAGAAGTACCTGTTCCTGGTGGGAGCTGGGATGCCCAGGGGAAGGGGAGGGAGCAGATAAGATGGGAATGGGGGCAGAGGCGGCACAGCCTGGCCTGGGTGCTGCTGGGTCATCTCGGCACAGAAAGGATGAATTCAGAGGTGGGAGATTTGACCCTGCTCAATGCAGGGCATCCTGTGTAGGATGTGGTTGGGAATCTGCTGATCCCATGGGCAAGGCAGCCCTGGGAGGTGCCTCTCTCACCTTTGTAGGGTGAGAGAGGGCTGGGGCAGAAATAGTCATGTTTTAGATGGATTCTTCCCAAAGACCAGCTCAGGCTTGGGGGATCTGATCCCCCAGATCCCAGGGAAGCCCCCAGCTGGGAGCAGACAGGTGCTGGGCTCCAACCCATCCCTCTCCCCGCTCCCAGTTCAACAACATGCTGCTGTACTGCGTGCCCAAGGTCATCCAGGTGGGCGCCGAGTTCCAGGTCCGCCTCCGCATGGACGTGGACGGCATGAAGGTCAGACAGGCACCTTGTCTTTGTGCTTCCCCCAGACCCTGACTCCTCCAAAAGCACCCTGATTTGGGGTGTAACGTGGCTGCTGCCCCTCACTTCCTCGGGAAGGAGGGAGGAGCTGGAGCCAGGGTGGCTTTGTGGGTGAGGTTGGTATGTTCTGATCCTGCGAAATGCCAGTGAAATCTTGTGCATGAGGGGCTGAAGGGCTTGTGCCCGAGGGACATCCCTGTGCCTCACATCATGGAGGAAGGTCTCTGTGTGCTGGAGGTGGCTTCAGCTCCAAATCCCTTCTCCTGTGTCTGGCAGGTGCGGGAGCTGCAGGACACAGAGTTCCCTCACACCTTCCTGGTCTCGGGAAAGCAGCGGACACTGGAGCTGCAGGCCAGGTAAGGGGAAGGGGGACGTCATGCAGACCCTCAGGGAGCAGGGACAACAGCTTATCCATCTCCCTTTTGTATCCAGGTCTGGGGAGGAGATGGACGCCTGGATCAAGGTACCAGCGAGTGCTGGGAGTGGTGGCACATCTGCCTCATCCCAGCGGGATGCTCTGTGTCAGGGCAGCCCCCAACTGCCCCTCCAGCCCTGCCTTTCCCTCTAGGCCTTCCAAGATGCCATTGACAGGAAGGAGAAGAGAAGTGAGACCTTTAAGACAGCAGTACCTGGACTGGAGACAGACACCCCTGCACTGAAGGTACCCTCCTGCTCTCCCCATGCCCCCTGCACAGAGCCCACCTTGCTGGGCCTCAGTTCCCCTCGCTAAACCCAGCTGGGGGGAGGCTGCAGACGGGGAGAAGGGCTGAGGAGGGGAAGGGGTGAGAGCAGAGGGCTGGGACCACCCAGAGCATGGCTGGGCAGCCCCACTGATGCAGCCCCCACCCTCAGACAGAGGAGCTGGGCCGCCGAGCTCCGCAGTGGGTGCGGGACAACCTGGTGACGATGTGCATGCGCTGCAGGGAGCCCTTCAACGCCATCACCCGCCGGAGACACCACTGCCGAGCCTGTGGATACGTGAGTCACCCTCCCCTCCTTCCCCTCCCTCCTGGCCTGCTCAGGTGGCTGCTGGGGCAGGACCACACCTCTCCTACATCTTGTATCCCTTTCCCCCCCAGGCTCAGGGTCGCTCCCGCCCCTCAGCTCCTCACGGAGCCCCGCCCCGTCCTTGCTCCATCCCGGCGCAGGGGATGCCCAGGGTCGTGAAATCTGTGGAATTGGGATTGCTGGGATAAATCGTGCCCGCGACCCGTCTCTGCAGTCTGTGCAGCCTTCTTTGGGGGTGTATTTTCCATGGGATTGTCCCCATGCCTCCACGTCGCCGTATCTATCACCAGCCCTTGTCTGATGCCCTGCAGGGACCCAGCTTGTGGCTCACCCACACAGCTCAGGGACCCTAGTGCTGGGTTCAGGATGTCCCCTCCTGGCTTGTCACCACTCCTGGCCTCACACTGCTGCAGTCCCATGGTGTGGGTGTTCCTCTTTACCTCCTCTTTACAGCTCCTCACGGAGCTATCCCTGGATCCCCCAGTCTCAGGAGTGCCCGTCTGTGGCTGCAGGTGGTGTGTGCTCGCTGCTCTGACTACAAAGCCGAGCTGCAGTACGACGGGAACCGCCTGAACCGCGTGTGCCAGGAGTGTTACATCTTCCTGACGGGCCACACGGTGCTCGAGGACCGGGAGGGGAAGCACAAAGGCATCCTGGAGGTGAGCTCTGCCCCCCCTCTGTCCCTCTGAGCTCTGCCACCCACCCTGGTCCCAGCATCGCTGTCCCAGCCTGGCCCTGCACCTGCAGCAGGAGGAGTGCGAGTCACTCCCACAGCAGTCAGAGGGAGCATGTGCTGAGCTCCCTCCTCCTCCAAGCCCAGGGACCCCCCAACAGCCAGGGCTCCCTTCACCACGGGATCTCAGCAGCACCCTCACAGCCAGGACGGCCCCTTGCCTGCCCCTGCTTTTGGGGTTTGGTGGAGTGGGTGGGGAATTCCCCAGGAAACGGCCTTGGCTCGGTGCCCTTTCTGCCTCCCGCACTGGGTATTGAGAGATTTGTTGGGTTTTTTTTGGCAGAAAGGAGCTGCAGAGGTATCAAGCAGGAGTTTGCTCTGCAGTTCCCTGCAGCTGCTGGACAAGAACGGCAAGGGGGGGACGCGGGGCTGGTTTGTGATCCCACAGGACGATCCCCTCGTGTTGTACATCTACGCAGCCCCCCAGGTGAGGCCAGGCTCGGATCCATCCTCAAGGGACATCCCGCTGTGCCCACCCCCTGCCTCCCACCGCTGTCTGTTCTTGGCAGGACGTGCGAGCCCACACCTCCATGCCCCTTCTGGGCTACCAGGTGAAGGACCTGCCCCAGAGCGACTCCCGCCACCTCTTCCAGCTGGCGCAGTCCCGGCAGGTTCACACCTTCCTGGCCGACACTGAGGAGCTGAAGCAGCGCTGGATGAGGGCCATGGCACGCTCTGCCGCAGGGATCACACACCCAGAGGATGAGGAGGAGGATGCAGACCCCTGTGACAAAGCAGAATGAGGCCATTCCCACCCCTGGGCCGCCTGGGGAGTCACCTCCCCAGCCTGTCCTCGCTGCTGACTTCATGCAGACCCCCGACATCTCCGCGTTTGGGTTTCCATCATGAAAAGAACAAGCAGGGGGTACATTTGCCACCACACGGACAAGCCGGATTCCCCTTCCCCTCCCTCCTCGCTCTCCGCGCTGGACGGAATGAGGCGGAGGGATGGGGGGGTTTTGGGGAGGCCTCGCCCCTGCGGCCCCGGCCGCTGTGCAGTTCCGCCGGTGGCCACGCGAGGGCAGCCCCGCCCCGTCCTTGCTCCATCCCGGCGCAGGGGATGCCCGGAGTCGTGAAATCTGTGGAATTGGGATTGCTGAGATAAATCCCGCCCGCGAGCCGTCTCTGCAGTCTGTGCAGCCTTCTTTGGGGGTGTATTTTCCATGGGATTGTCCCCATGCCTCCACGTCGCCGTATCTATCACCAGCCCTTGTCTGATGCCCTGCAGGGACCCAGCATGTGGCTCACCCACACAGCTCAGGGATCCCAGTGCTGGGCTCAGGATGTCCCCTCCCAGCTTGTCACCGCTCCTGGCCTCACACTGCTGCAGTCCCATGGTGTGGGTGTTCCTCTTTACCACAGACACCCCTCACCTGCATCACTGAGCCAGTCCACACTCCTGCCCATCCCAGACTTTGCCTTCACCCCCTCCTGTCCACAAGCACTTTCCACCCTTGTACCTCCCTCAGTTACTTGTTTCCCGAAGCAAAACACTCTGGGACAAGGTTGTGTCCACACAGGTGCTGCTGTGGTGCTGAGGAGACACAGGGGATCCCCCTCTCTGTCGTCATCATAACGAGCACCCCTGGTTGTTTCACGCAGCACTTTAGGCTGCAGCCTCACATTTTTCTCTCTGCATCATCTTTAGCTCCCCAAGAATGTTGCCTGGTCAGAAGTTGCCACTTCTGAGCCTGCCAGGGGCTGAAATGGGATGCAGGAGGAGCCCACAATCCCTGGCAGGCAGGGAGGGCTGTTGTTTGCAGGCAGGGGTTGCTGCCTGAGCCTGGACCACACAGCAGCTCCAGCACAGCAGCCTTGGGCAGAGCCCAGGGGTGCCACAGGCTGAACAGATCCATGGAGACAGGGAAGGGAAGGGAGTTGGAGCAGGATACTGCAAATAGGGACATCTCTTGGGGAAAGCATGTGGAATAAAGGTGGATGGGGGGGCCTCAGAGAGACAGGAAAAAGCTGTGAGCATCATCCTGCCTCCATCTACCCAGCTCAGCTCATCCTGGGAAAGGGCAAACCATGGTGGTTTTACCTCCTCCAGCCCAAGAGATCCCATCAAGGAAGAGGGAGAGGAGCTGGATGTCAGGGCAAGAGCTCTGCCAAAGCAGTTGCCCCTCAGGGTGCCACCCAGCATGGGGCTGAGCCCAGAAGAAGCAAACAATGCAGGGCCTTCCAGGGACACCCCAAAACAGCTCTAGTGGGAAGGGGAACCCCCAGCAACACCGGAAAAGCCCTGGAAAAGCTGCTGAGGGGGGAAGAGTGAGCAAGGGGAAGCCCACAGGGCTGGCAGGCTCTGCGTGGTGGCCCTTGGTGTGGCGTCACCCCTGTGTCAGCCAGGAACAAAACAAGCCCGGAGCAGGGACCTGCCCTCAGCCCTGAATGGGCCTAAGAATAGATTTCCTGTTTACCCAGGGAGGAATCGCTCCTGGGGCAGAGGGCACCTGGGGGCTATTTTTACCAGCCCCTGCCCTCCTCCTTCCTGACCCCCAGCACCCTCGGGGGGGATCCATGTGGGCCACAGGAAAGGGGTTGTCCGGGAAGAGAGGTGGCCTGGGGGCAGAGGGGGTGACAGGGCACCAGGACAGGTCACTGCCTTGGCTTTGGCATCGTGCCTTACTCAAAGATGGGGAGACAGCATCACTTGCTGCCCTGAGTATCCCCAGTCTCTCAGTGGAAGACCAAATTTACAGGGGGTATCATGGTGCCCCCACTCTGCTTTACTAGAAAAAAACCTAAACAAACAAAAAACCCCAACCAACTAAACAAAAAACAAACAAAAAAAACCCCCAAAACAAAACAAAGGAAAAAAAAAAGGGAGATTTTTGCACCCAAGAAATGCAGAGAACACACTGATGAATTTGAATTTGCTCTCCCCATGCTTTCTCAGTCCCCTGCAGTGATGGTCAAGCGGAGCAGTTTGGCCTCTCCCCTCCCCCGGCAGAAAGTGAAACCCGGAGCAGAAGTCACAGTTTCCTATTCTCGAGAATGGGGAAGGCTCAGAGGCCACTTACCGGAATCCCCCCCGCGGCCCCCCCAGCGCCTCTTCTCGTAAGCACTGACCAAAATACGCTGTGAAAGCCACACGGGCTGTGCTGGGGGCCGGGACACCCATCACTGACAGCACCCAGACACCCATCACTGACTGACAGCACCCAGACACCCATCACTGGCAGCACCTGGACACAGGGAACAGGCGCCTGTGCAGCTCCTGCTCTGCTCATTGTCCCATACTCACACCAAACCCCATCCACGCTGTGAGAAGGGGGATGCAAAGATGTTCAAGGGCATGAGCGAGCAGGGAGGTGGCCATCAGAGACAGGGACAAGTGGGGTGCATTGTGGACCCCCCTGCAGGGCTCTGTAGGGTTCAGTCACTCTCTGCTCCCCCAGGAAGGGGCTCAACAGGGCCTAGAGCTGGTGCCCCCCAGGTGTGGAGTGAGATCAGAACCATATGGGCCTGTAGAATCCCACAGTGCCAGCCTTCAGGACTGCTCTAGGAGCTGCTCTGTGGGGTGGGGGCTCTTGATCTGTAGGGACAGGCCCTATATGGGGTTCTCTACATGGTAGGCATCCCTTCTCTATGAGGACTACTCCACTGGGTGTATTCTCTTGCTCCTTAATTGCAATTCCCTCTGTACTCTGGTCTATGGGATGGGGTTTTATGGTCTTTAGGGGTCTGCATTTCTGAGGCAGCAGCTCTTGCCCTACAACACCTGGATTTGTGTTGTACAGGATCTGGGCTCCATAGGGGCCAGCCCCCCATGACAGGAGCTCTTGCTCTGGAGATGTTGGGCTCCACAAGTGTGTTCCCTGTGCCCTGCCCTGTAGGGGCAGTGACCTACAGGGTCCCTGCTCCAGGATGTGCAGCCCCTGGGGTCATGAGGCAGCACATCCCTCACTGTGGGACACCGTGGAGCAGCACATCCCTCACTGTGAGATTTTGGGCAACACAGCCCTTGCTGTGGGATTTGGGGCAGTACATCCCTCCCTGTGGGATTTTGGGAAGCACAGCCCTTGCTGGGGGACGTGGAGCAGCACATCTCTTGCCACGAGACCATAGGGCAGGATGGCCCCCACTATGGGATTTTGGGCAACATGGGCCATGGGGTGGCACATCCCTTGCCATGGGATTTTGGGCACCACAGCCCTCTCTGTGGGGGCATGGGGCAGCACAGCCCTCACTGTGGGATTTTGGGCAGCACATCTCTCTCCTTTGGACCATGGAGCAGCACATCCCTCGCTGTGGGATTTTGGGCAGCACAGCCCTCACTGTGGGGCCATGAGGCAGCACCTCCCTTACCAAGGGACCATAGGGCAACACATCCCTTGCTGTAGGATTTTGGGCAGCACACCCCTTGCCATGGGACCATAGGGCAGCACAGCTCTCACTGTGGGATTTTGGGCAGCACAGCCCTCGCTGTGGGATTTTGGGCAGCACACCCCTTGCCATGGGAGCACAGGGCAGCACAGCTCTCGCCGCAGCGCCGCGGCACCGGAGCTGCAGCAGCTCAGCCTCTCCCCACCGCGCAGCCTCTGCAGCCCACCGGGGCTTCCGCCGCTCCCGCCGAGCGCTTTAAATAATGAATATACCGAGGTCGGAGACAGACACAACACAGCCCTGCCCCGGAGCATCACCCCCCATCGGCCCCGCCGTGCCCGGGGCTGCGGGGACACGTGGGACTCCCGTGTCCCCTGAGGGTGGGGACACCCCCTGGGTGGGGGGATTTAAGGATGGGAGATGATGCTAAATGATGCAAAATATCTGTGATCCCACCCAAAAAAAACCCCCACAGCCAGGATTGTGTAACCTTAGGACCGGGGTACGCCCATCCTGCTCTGCACCCCCTTTTAGGAGCAATTCTCCCCCCATGGAGCAATTCCAATCAGGAGGGGGACCCCAGGATCCTCCCCAGCCGCACCCCATTTTTGCATTGCACCGGCAGGACCTCGCTGTCGCGGTGTCCCCACTCTTTGGGGGAGCTTAGGGTTGGGAGGGGCAGCTTCCACCTCCTTTTGGGGAGCCCCCGCAGCTGCCGGCGAAGGGCGGTTCGTGCGGTTGAGGAGCAGGTCGTGCATCCCGGCGTCTGGAGAGGCGGGAGGTGTTTCCCGGTGGCGTAGGAATTTGCTGTTTGCGCCTGTGTTGCAGGAGGTTGGGGGAAGGAAGCGGGGGGCGGGGGGGGGGGGGGGAAGCCGGCAGTTGTTATTATTTAATTTTATTTTCCTGCCTCCATCCAGGAATCTCTGCAATGTGCCGGCTGCTCGCGGGGAGGTTGGGGTGGCCGTGAGTCACTGCTGCCGCTGGAACGTGACTCAGTCCTGCTGCTCTCCCGGCAGGACATGACCAGACTGCCAAAACCCGGGAGAAGCCCCAGATCGAACGCCTGCCCGCGCCGGTGGGCGAGGACACGCGAAATCCCCCCCCGAGAGCTCAGCCCCCCGCTTCCCACAGGGATGGGAGCCCCTCACCGTGGGGCAGAGCTCAGGCTGGGGGGCAGAATGGGCTCCTTTTTTTTTTAATTATTTATTTATTTATTTATTTTATTCTATTTTTCCTCAGCCAGGAAAATCCTCTCCACCCACTCTGTCTCACCCATCCGTGGGGCGCCATGGATCTGTGGGGATCTCCCAGGAGTTTTGCTTCCCCATCTTCCAGGCCCTATGGGTGAGCAGGGAAAGCTCCTGGCGCTGTTCCTGCCCCAGTTCCCGTGCCTCAGTTTCCCCATCCGGTGGGGAGTGGAGATTTCCCTGTCGGGGACTGGAACAGGGGTTACTTCAGGTGGTGCTTTGAGGTCACTGAATAGCAGCTGCGGGGGGTTATTATTAATATTAATTAATAGCTCAGGTGGTGGGGAGGGATGGGGGGGACTGAAGCAGCCCTGAGTCACAGGGCAGGAGCAGGGGGTGGCCCAGCCCTGTCCTGAGCCCCAACACTCGCTGCACCCCAGGGCTGGGACAGCCAAGGGCTGCCCCACTCATCTCACCTGGGGCTGGATGAGCAGGGGTATGAGCCCTGCTCATCCTCATGCTCCTGCTCCGTGTGGAAATGGGCTCCTGGAGCAGGAGAGCAGGGGAGGCGGCCACGGGGCAGCGCTGAGCACTGGGATGGTTGTGACACCTCAGGCCTCCACGGCCACAGCTGCCTCTGTCAGCCGTGATTGAAAGCCAAGCCGGGCTGGCAGGCCCTCTCTGTGATCTTGTTAATTAAGAAATACATTTAATTAGCAGCACCCCAGCTGTGACTCAGCTAATCATCATGATCGAAGCAAGAGCTGGACTCCAGCGCCGGAGCACGGAACCACCAAACCCCCTCACCTGCCATGAGCCCCTGGCTCTGCTGGGGGACCCCATTGCCCACCAGGCACATCCCAGTGCCCCCCTGGGGTTTGGGGCTGAGTTTCCCCCTGGGCTGGAGGCAGGTTGGAGCTGAGACTGTCCCCGTGCAGCACCTCACACGCATAGGGTGTCATCCCCACCCAGGGCAATTATCCATTGCCACACTGCGAATAATCATATTAATAACCCATTTACCAGGCTATAAATAGCCTTGATAATAACACCCTGGGTTTTCCAGGAACGGATTGTCAAAAATGTGGGGAAAGCCATTCCCTGTCGCCCGGGCTGCAGATGGGGAAACTGAGGCAGGGCTGGTTTCGGGCACGACTCTCGCCTGCTGCACTGAGCCGTCTGCCAGGCAGCTGTGGAATTTGCTCCCGAATAAACTGTCATGTAAATGAGCCCTTATGTATATTTATGGGCGCCGTCCTGCCAGCTGGAATCTAATAGGGGAGAAAATAAACTGGGAAACTGCCTGGTACAGGAGGGCGGCGCTTCACACATCGTCCCCACGCCCTGCTGGCACTGCTGGAGGGGTGTGTCTGTCTGTCCCTTGTCCCCAGGGTGTCTGTCTCTGATGCTGGGCATCCAGCCCTGCACCCCCGAGGTGCCCAGCTCTGGTCATGGATGCCCAGCCCTGGTCCTGGGTACCCACCCCTACACTCTGGGGTGCTCAGGCCTGGCTCTGGGCACTCAGCTCTGCACCCTTTGGTCCCCAGCCCTGTTTTCTGGATGCCCAGATTCCCATATGCCCATATCCTGGGGTGTCTGGAAGCAGACACTGGGTGCTCTGCATCTGCTGCAGGCTGCTGTGGGCTTTGGGGTATGGGAAATGGGAGGGGTGTTGCTGGCACTGGGTGAAACTCTGTCACATTTGGTGTCCCTGTGCTTGGTGGGGGGCTGGCACAAGGGGTCCCTCACTGCTCAGCAGGGCCTACGTGGCACCTTTGTGCCCAGAAGTCGTGGTGGGTGCCCCTTCCTCGCTGTGCCAGTGA